TGGTAGAAAAAAATGCTATTTAGAACACGTAATTCTAGGCCCTCAGTCTGTATCTGATGAAGGGAATTGGTAATTAATACAATCAAAATAATATAATAGTTTTAAAAGAGTGTGGCAGTTTTGAGTTATCCTATGATTATTTGGCTTTCTGATGTGAGCCAAAATTCTCTTACATCTTTTGCTTTCACAAAGCCAACAATAAATGGATACAATGCTAGAAGAGCAGGTGTGTTTTCACTCTGAGGAAGCAGCTAGGGATATGAAAATGACTTAGCAGCTGGTGAATAAGAAGACTGAAGTTGTGCCAGACAAAGTGAGTGTGTGTGTGTGTTTCTGTGTGTGTGTTTTCCCACTAATTATGCAAAAAGACCCAAATTCATGGAATTCATTGATTATGTTGTTCTTTCCCTTCTTCATCTTAAATATTAGTGTGTTAAAACTGTTTCAGAAAGTCAAAGTTATTACCAGGGACTTATTTTTCTCTATTAAAATTGAAAACAGAGTTACATGAATTATCTTGTCTTTTTTTTTTTTTTTTTATCCCCTCCCAAAAAAAATTCCTGTGTGTGGCTAGGTAAGAACCAATACCATTTGCTCTGCATTTCTATCTGTCATTTAGTCCTCAGAGACACAGCTTCACAGACAATGAGGCTGTACTCAAGCAAGCACAGTGTCAACACATTGTAAGTCACTACTCTGCACACAGCGTCAGGCTTTCCTTGCTTAAAGTTGGAAAATATTTACTACAAGATTCAGCAGGCATAGCCGTGGATTTATTTTAGGAGTATATACATATCAACAAACTGTAGTGCTAGGAAAAATATGGGGTTTTGTTTCCTTGAAAATAAATGAACTTTGTTTTACTTGTTCACACAACTGAAGTGCAAAGATAAAGTGGAAAGATTTACAGAAAGATACCTGGTAAGTTCTACAGAAAACGCTCATCTTAACATCTTACGTTGTCTTACATAATCTAATTAGTCATGCTCTCTACCACCAAAATCCCATAGGATTATGCCATTAACTAGTGAATTTGGAAACTCAGTTCAAAACTCCTGCAGTACTAACTACAATTAAACTATTATATATTGTAATTTCATAAGGAATGGAGAAAATCTCCAACCACCAGTCTTTGTGAGGCCTTTTTCTCAAAACATGTTACCACCAACTAGGATGTTTCTCATACCATATATTTACATATAGACAAACTCTATTAAGCTTTGTGTGTACTATGGGCTAAAACGGCTAGCGAAAATGAAAGCCATGAAGTTATGCAGCTTCTCTGTTGGTCATCAAAGTTCAAATACAAACATAGCCAAAGACAAACTATTCACCTCATCTTTACAAAAACATTTAAAATTCAGTAAACCTCTTTTATAAAGCTGCCAAAAGATTTTACCTTCTAGATGAGTATTCTAAAATATATAAAATAATTATAAATGAATGTTTGGAGCTTCTGCACCAGTAGCATTCCCTACCTTTCTGGGTGAAAAGGTGATCTTCTCTTCAAAGATTGCTTCATGTAGACAAATTCCTATCCACTTGCATCAGCATGGAGTCATTAACATCAGAATATATGCCACAGTGACTCAGACCTATCTTCTCTTCAACAGTGACTAGAAATCAATGTCCAGGAAAGAACAAGAACAGGCCAAGCATATGTGACCTTACACAGGGCTTCCTCCCAGCTGTCACCTATTATCAGGTCGGTGAATTTCCTGAGATTGATGCTGCCCGTGTCTTTTGTTTCCCCCAGTGAATCTTTCCTTCAAGCTCATGTCCAATCTTCCCTTGAATACAGAAGCAGTGAGAATTGTGCTATTCTCTCCCTAAGTATTTCAACCTCTATCTTGTTTCACTCTCTATTGCTATACTCTGTAGCTCTACACAGGCCATACTACTTGGGTGCAAACTACGTGTGCTTGCTGTTCTCAACCATCTCTGTTCATGCACTTTTTCATTGGCAGCATTTCTTCATGACATTGAGCTGCCAGAAATTGCCACAATTACTCATGAAACTGCAGACTGCTGCCCTGGGCCTAGCAGGTTTGCAGGCTGCTTCTGCTGCCCTCGCTTGCAGACAGCGGCGGGGTGTTGGCCATCACACACAAGGAAGTTCTGCAGTTGGGTATTTCACAGTGGAAGTTCCCAGCTAATATGAGTCATAACCTGTGCTGAAGCACAGAACTGCATTTCATAATCTTGTCGACACTGCTCTCAGATAACAAAAAAATATGCTTGTACTGTCACCAAAGAGCTGACAGAAGAAAAATCCTCTTGAAGAGGTAATCAAAGCCTTTGGTTTCCATAAAGTAAATCGTATATATCAACGCCATATAGGAAAAGTATAACACGAGTTATAACCGTTGTAATTGTATTAACTGCTTTTTATGTTGCTTAGACTGCACCACGTTCCACTGTCTGCACTTTGATTAAATATTGTTTAGCTGGCTTCTCATCCCAAGATTTACCTGTTGCAATCTATAGGTTAAATAAAAACTTCATTTGCATTGAATGTACTTAAGTTTCCACTGGTTCATTAGCTAACTACTTTTTCTGATGGGTGAAAAAAAAACCAGCCTCTTCTTTCTTTTCACCATAAAACGAGAACATTCATTCTAAATTAATCCATAATTTTCCTTTATGCCCAGAAAGGCATTTCAAAGCAATTGGGGAGGTGGAGGGGAACTCTTGGAAAAATCTTGTAAGGACATGCATCAATATTGCCAGCCCCCAAGCTTGTACCACACGTTCCTTTGGAAAAGCTGAATAGTTCTTGTAAAGGTTTAAATATCTGACGTGAGCCACCTAGTGCCTAAAAGCACGGCTACATTAGGAAGTTTCAAGAAACGCTTTAATCTGGCAGTCAGCAGAAGCTAACGGGTATTTATAAACTTAAACTGTATAAATGAACTGATTTAAACCTTTACTGAAATATAATCGCCCTGCAACTGCTGTGCTGCAGGCATGTTTTTAAAGCAGGAAGATGTAGGATGCCTAAAACCTCAGAACAGACATAAGTGCACTGAAATGAGGTGGCTCCCTCCAGTTATCTCCTGAAGACTGCAGGTAGCGGCTGCAATTCTGCAGTAACATGGACATAAAAATGTAAAATATTGACACAAGGCTGAAAAGGAGAAAGTGTTTATTGGATAGTTGTAGGTAAGGAGATACAGAGATTAAGGAGGGGTAAGCAGAGAAAAAATGAAAATGAAAAAGAAAGCAAGATGAGGAAGAAAGGGACAAAAATAACTAACCAATGGGGCAGAACCTACTCTTCCTTTAAAAGATTAGAGAGCAAGCTAGCTACAGAATATAGATTTTTACATTATGATTTTCACAGGTATTTTTCCCTTCTTTTATTTAACAATCATTTATTCAAAGCATTGGAAATGCCTGTGCATGTTCAGATATGTCACTGTCAATCTAGTAACATACATTTCATCATACTTGGGGAAGAAATGCAGAAAAGAAACAAAATGAATAATGAAGATAGAAAAGACACCAGGTTCTCTTGTGCTATTTTATGAAACAATATTCCTTGCAAAGCCCAAGCCAAATAATGCAACTGCAATAATGCAATAATGATTTTCAAATCAATGTCATGTTCCTTGATGGCTGTCGGCTTTGCTCTGATGGGCCTAAGACCCTTTTCTTCCCTATGCAAGCACTAACATGTAATTATATTTTACAGACAGTATATGGACTCTATTCCCAGGCATCCATAAGCTTAGTTGGTTCATGTTCATTGTCATTTGTTTTCTACAACACTTGTACTTCCCCTGCACATAAACAATTTTTTAAATATAGTTGCAGTTAAAGTATATTTACATACATTGATGTGAAATCAAATACTGCAGTGCTTTTTCTTCTTCAACTGCTTGGCACGACTGGATAGAAATAAAGAATATAGAAACTAAAAAGGGAATGATAAGTGTTTGGGGGTTTGTTTTGAAAAAAAAAAAAAAAAAAGACCTACTTAAATGAAACGTGAATGTAAGTGTCTCAAATAGCCTGTTAAGATTAAAGTTTTGGCAAGAAGAAATTGAATCCTCCTTTCTTGGGATTATGTTTGGGGAGAAGGACTTCTGCGGACCTTACCAGGTTCACCAGTAGGTCACCCAAAGTCCTTAACAGCAGCTAACCAGGAAATACGCTTACTCATTAAAGTATCTGCCTAGAAGCCTTAAAAAAAGACCAGGGCAGTCCAAAAGCGTTGTTAAAAACTTATCAGGAAAGGTAAATCATAGTGTAAATGGCTTTTGGGAAGGCACAGTGAGCTGGGTTCTCATCATGGCACTCCTCAGTACCCCGCACCTCCCCGTGGCACCAGGACTCCCAGCGGGAGCACAAGCAGCACCAGTCCGCGCTGAGCGCTTTTATTCGGGAGGCTCTTAGGTGGAACGAGGATTGGGACGGGAGGGTGGCTCGGACCCACGCGGGCCCGGCGGGAGGCGCCCTGGGCGGCGGGCGCTGCGGGCCCCGTCACCCGGCGGGCGGGGAGAGGCCCCACAGGAAGTCAGTTCTGGTTCCTGGGTTAAGGCGGTGGGGCCGGAGCGGGCGCTCCGCGCCGGGCGCCGGGGGCTCCGCGAGGCGCTCGTAAGTGCGAGGCGCTGTGGGACGCGCCCCGTTGCCTCCCGCGGGCGGCAGCGCGGGCCGCGGCGGGCGGGAGGGGACGGGCCGCGGCAGGGACGGGACGGGGCCGGGACGGGGCCGGGAGCCGCCTCGCTGCTGGTGGCCCCGCTCCGCCCGCCGGTGCCGCTGCCTGGCGCCCCTTTCCTGAGCCCACGGGCTCTGAGTGGCACTTAGGGGATTTCCCACTTCTCTGGCGCAGAGCAGCAGTTGCTTTGCCCGGTAGGGAGGTACAAATGCTAAAAACGGCCCCTGCAAAGCGCAGCGCACACTCGGTCTCTTTACTTCAACAGGTTTCCCGTGCCCGGGACGCTGGCAGTGTAACTCACAGGGCATTTCCACCGAAGAGGCTGCCCTGAGCGCAGCAGTGTGTAGGGAAGGGCTTGATCCTGGAGAGCAGCTCTAGTCTCATGTGAACCTCGGGGAGGTAGGCACGTGTGTTGGGAATTCATATGAACATGCACATGATTAGCTAACCTGCACCTGCTTGGGCTTTAGGGTGCTCCCTGAGGCACTGTGAGAAGGTGCTGTGTGTCGTTCTGGTGACTGCGGTGCTGGGATCCAGGGAGATACCCTACATGGTGTTGCACATCCTCATGCTGTGTCTGTACCAGCATTTGAAAAACTTCCAGGAAATTTCTATTGTTTCTCGTGTATTTCAGTCCTCCTATGTCAATATGTTTTGCACTTGAAATGCATTTAAAGAACTTCTGCAGGTTTCATTTGCTTTGTTACTGAGGAGTTTGTCTAAAAGCGTGTGCATCTTAAAACAGTTGTTTCCAGTATTACCAGTATATCTTTATTCCAACATGAAATTCGAGTTCTCACGGACATAGTTCTGGCAACCCTTAGAGCTCTTTGCATTCACAGGACTTTCTCAGGCTGTGAAGCCACTGTCTCTGTATCTGCCCTTGTCAGAAGGAATACACTGTTTGGTAACGCTGGATTGGTACCAACTCTGTAGTCTATTGCTGCTAGTAATTAAGAAGAAGCTTTGAGTAGCTCCTGAATATCCAAAATGCCCGTAGCTCAAGATGGTGAGCTTTAGGCTGAGGATGTTCCAGCTGTTGAAGCAGTGTAACCCAGCACGGTTAGATTAGTGTGGATATTTGTTTGGGGGCTATTGGGAATCCTAGCTGGATGCACAGAGCAGAGTTAATGGCAAGGAAGAGCTGGCAATCTCCCCAAAGTGGGGAGGGCGAAAAAAAGAAAAGTTGATGCAAGGATAAGAAGCAGGAAAAGGAGCCATCCTTTTTTTTTTTCCTAATTGCAAGATGTTCTAGACATGAGATTACTGCTTCTTTGGTTACCTTTTTATGCCTGCAGTAGGCAGCTTGGGGTGTGACTGTCCAGAGCAAATCCAGGCTGCTGCAGCCCTGTGCGTGGCTGGGGTCGCGTTCCCGCTGCCGGCTCGGCGCGCTCCGGCAGCCGTGCAGCGAGCGAGCCCCAGCTTAGCCCTTCTGCAGAGGCTGCGAGTTGTTTCCCTGACACAGCTCACAACGTAGCCTGAAAATACTGACTCTGGTACAAGTAGATGGGAAAAGTATCCCTGGGCCAGGGATGGAGGAAGGCAGGAAGCACCCATGTCTGTGGCTGTGCAGTCCTAATTCACGTTACGTAACCCCGTGACTTCATGATATAATTCCAAAGCTAATGCTGTCAGTGAAACAGGAGATCTGTCTCCCTTCTGCTCATGTTTTCTGCTCCCAGACTTGCTCCCTCTTAATGCCAAAGTGTGATCATGAGGTGTGAAGCAGTCCATTGAACTACATATATATATATATATATACGCACACACAATCATATATATAACTACATTATAACTACCACAGCAAAAATACCTATGGCCTTGACGTAAGCTGGATTGGTTCATAGACATGGTTGTGCTGGCAGGGGGAAGTGGAAGCAGAAATGAGCATCTAGGGGTGTAGGTGAGTGCAGGACTAGTTCTTCTAGTAAGAGTTCCATCTTAAAGTGTCCAGCTGCACTACTTTGGAGTTTCATTGCCTCTTTCTTGCTTCATGAAACCTTGGTTTTAGGAAACTGCCTGGGTTGGATGTCCTTAAACATGAAAGTTCTCCTTATTCATACATACAAAGTAGAAAAGCAGGCATAGGGTTACAGTTCGTTGTGGTATCCCAAAATGATTCATCCCACCTGCAGTCCAGGCGAGGGCAGAAACCTTTGCTGATACTCCCAGTCTTAATCAGAAAGGAAAAGGCTGAAAGTTAAGGATAAATTTTAAGTATTATTTTTCAAATTGAAATTTTAATTTAGAAAATTTCCATCTCTAAGTTAAATTTCTCAATTAAATTTCTAATTAAGTTTCCATTTTCTATGGAGCTCATCTCATCTGGAGCTGAACTCCGTTCCCTCTACTAGAAGCTGAACATTGTCTTTTAAATCCCATCGCACTCAATTTTTGAAGTCAAGTTCTGTATGTACAGGATGTTACAGTTTATTATGTAAACTGTTACAAGCTAAGCGTCTTCTGGAAATTTTTGGATCAGTACAGAATCAGCTTTGGTACTCTGAAGCTTTCAAGGAATATGAGAGCATGCTTGCAAGTCATTTTCAGTCTTTCTCAGTTTAGTAATCCCCATGCAGTCAAATATAGTATCTTTCCTTATCCCTTGAACACTCCTTCACTTGAAATTGAAAGGAAACCTACGCACTTATTTAAAGATGTGCCCCAGACATTAAAGTGAATATTCCAGGAGTGAAACTTTTTAAGGGGGAGAAGTCGTTTGCGTTAGTAACAGTTCTTTGAGACGGTAAGTATGGACCTGGGGTTATGAACAACTGACCGATTGGTGGTCAAAAAATAAAAAACTTGCATATGAAACGATGGTGGGCTTTAAGACAAAATATATAAACTTGGATTTCAGTAATACTTGTTATGTAAAAGGCTTCCAAGTGTGTCCAAGCTGTTACAGTGTTTGCTTTGCCACTAAGAAATGCAGCCATGCTGGAGATGAGGCAATTGCTTTATTACATTATGGTAAACTTTAAAATTAATAATTTAATAATAATAATATTATATTATTTAAATAGTAATTTAAATAATGTATTATACTAGAAGCAAAGAAACAGTGATTACAAAGTTCATTCTGCCTTGAAATTTAAAATTTGTGACCTGTTAATATTGGCCTAGTCTTATGCATCAGTGTTGAGGGAATTCACCTTGCAGTGTTTCCTGTATTGCTGTTTTCAAATATAACATAGAATAGGATAGGCTTATGTGACCTAAGGTACTTGGGCTTTTATCTCTTCCTTGCTTCCTTGTTTGTTTTGATACCAAAAGTTGATATTGTTATTAATTATTTCTGTTACTTTACAATTGTGTAATCTACATCTTAAAAATAGGAAACTGGTGCTGTATAGTGATATGCACAACTTATAGGTGTCAATCCTCAAACACTGTAATTACAATACAGTTAAGATGGACTATACTTATACACCCAGACTGTGATTCACATTTAAGCTGTTTTTATCTAGTCTTTGCTTAAACCTGTGCCAGCACATACATTAAATGTTTATGTGAGCCGAATTTTAGTTCCAGTATTTGTGCTCAAACACACTAGACTTATTATCTGAGTTTGATACTAATGGAAATCATAATTTTATACATGTCTTTCATTGCATGCTGCTTTTTTCTTAGCATTCTCTTTCCTGATTACTTTTCAGGTCAACTAACTTCATCATCTTTTCAGTGATGAAACAACATTGGGAATTATGGATAAGAACATTGGAGAGCAGCTTAACAAAGCTTATGAAGCCTATCGACAGGCATGCATGGATAGGGACCATGCTGTGAAAGAACTACAGCTAAAAGTATGTGTTGGGTTCTAAATTGTATTCTCAAAGCTGTTCTTTTGGTGGAGAATTGTGGTAAAAGTAGATTTCAGTTTCGCTTTAGCTGTGCACAGTTTAATGCATCTGCTAGAGCTGGAAATTGCAGTTATGCAAGAGGCCAGTACACTGCAGACTAACTCATTAGGGTGCAAAGAAGTAGGTGGGTTTCGGGTTTTTGACCTTTCTTTTTTTGTGTGTAGCTTTAAAGGTGAGAAAGGTGTTGCCTGTTGGGGAGGGCTAGTGATATCTTTCAGTGTAAGTAGCAAAGATCAGTTCACAAGTCCTCCAGCTTTAATAAAGCATAGTTTGAAATTTAAATCACTTTATTCAATAGTGACTTTTTAATTTGGCTATCTACATTAACAATTTAATATATTAAATAGCTTAAATCATTTTTGTGTTAACAGGAGGATATGTCATGCAAATTATTCAGTTACTTGATGTAAGGACAGAAGACTCTCACATGTTACGCACCTTGCAAGCTGTTTTATTTTTTTTTACCCATTACTCTGGCCACAGATTTTTCTAGAGCTTTCTGTCATGTCTGGAGACTAGCATCTTGCAAAAACTGTCAGTGTGGGGCTTTGAAATACTAATTTAATTGTGCATATTCTGCCCAGTAGTGGAATCTTTGCTATTTTATAGGAGGATTTGAATGTTCTTTATGCTACAGCATTTTTAGATGCTTTGGTGGAGCTTGTAGACTGGGACTTTACTCAAAGGCAATTACACTGTATGGAATTATAAAAGCACTGGTGTAACTGGGAAGGGCCTGCTAGGGGATATTCTTCCATCTGGATACCATTTTCTCATCCTCCTGTTGTGAAACAAATGAGCTCCAGCACTGTGCCGCAGGTACAGAGTCAGGACTGAGGGCAGTCTATCTACATTCATAGTCCGTCAGGCAGTGCTGATCCAAATCCATTTCTGTGGAGTTTTCATACTTGACTAGTACAAGTAGCTGGTCAGAAACATTTTGTGCTGAAGTTGCAACTTATTTAGCAAGAGGCGACTTACATGAGAATGACTAAGAATCTATTAAATACTATCTCTTATGATGAGCAATTATCTATTGAAAGGAAAACCAGTCAAGCTAATGCTTCATGAAAGAAATTGTACATGCACAATAATGTACATGAAAGAGATTTCTGCCCTCAAAATAAAACATCAAATACAAGGCCAAGAAATAGTACCTCTGAAGTCCACAGAAGAAAACCAGAAAAGTAGATGAGATATGAATACTTTTTTAAAAGAGCTATTTGCAATATTTCTCTTTGCATTTCCCATGAGAAATTAAAAAAAGAAAAAATCTTTCATAAGGGATTACTACCAGTTCCAAACTGTGTCTTAATCAAACTTTCTGCAGTTGGGATTCTGTGACTTCAGAAGAAAAGGAAAGGGTTTTTCTTGGGAAGAGTTGATCATGTTAAAACTTGTTTGTGGGTTTTTTGTTTGTTTGCTTTTCTTCCTTTTTTCCCCCTTCACAACCAAAGTCACGGTTTCTGAGTGACCTTTGTGCAGCGCTTTGCTCTAGCAGCTTCCCCTGTACGTTATGTGGCCTTCGCACTTTGCTGGATTGTCCACCATGCTGTTGTTAACAGTTTACTACTTAAGTTACCGATAGGCCACTTGTTTTGCCAGTCTCTAGAGCTGGGAGCCATGTCAAGCACACAGAAGCCAGAGTCATCTCGGCCAGATGGTGTTTGATACAGATGGATGGTTGGTTGTCATGCAGATCTTCTAGTTGGTAACTTGTTGCTGCCATCTGACTCAAGGAATAATTTGTGCACACTGGCTGTCAAAAGCATCTTCTCTTCTGTCTGTTTTAGCTGTCATGTCTGTGCTCTGTACAGAAGTGTTGACAAGACATTGCTGTTGTACATTTTCAATTTGGTTCTCAGTGATTTTTCTGCCTCATGAGGTCTCTTATTGCTGCTGGAGTGTATTGCTCTTTGATCACTTTTTTTAAAAATGTTTTTTTAAAGAACTCTTTAAACACAGTACATCTACCTGGTCTTTTAAAATAAACTTTGGTTTTAGGTTTATTCTGCATGCTCTGTAGACAAGCACATCTTTGTGGGGAGAGAATTGAAATGTAATTGAGATATGGAATTTAACAGCAGTACAGATAAATTTGAAGTAGAAGAGTAATGCTTGGTCTTGTCCCAAATTTTGGTCTACTCAGAGATAGATATATTCTTAATTTCATAAAAATTCCATGCCTTCTTGTGTTTCCTTGATGAAATTTCACAAGTTTTCTTGCTTGTGTTTAACACTGCATTAGCTGCAACATTAAAGATGTGCTAATGAAATAGTAGTTTTTGAATATTAGCATCTTCCTGCCACCTGACCATTTGTTCAATTAACTGGCTGTCTAATAATATTTACACACTCCAGTGGTATGTGAGCAGCCTTATTAGGCTTTGTATGGCCAGATTATAGCACAAGATGGAGTAAAATTCAATGAAAAATTCAATTGATCTCTTTTATCTGCTTGCTTGCCTTCCCTCCTGTGTATTTTGTTGTTGTTGTTGTGGTTTGGTTTGGTTTGGTTTTGGTTTTTTTTGTTTGGTTGGTTTGGTTTGAAAAATCAGCTGTACTAGGTTCAAAGGAATATAAACCCTGACTATAGGTAAAGTTATTGAAAAAAGTAATTTTGCTTTATATCCTCCAGTAGATATTTTCTGGTTTAAAGTAAATCTCTTTTTATAAAAAAAATGTATTTTAATTTATTTTGTTAGAAGGAGTGGAGGAAGAAATTTGACTCTTTTTATATCTAAACTAACTGACCACCACTTGAAAAAGTAAATACCTAGAATTCTGATTTTAGACCTGGTGTGTTCTATGGCTGTGAAGGGAGATCCCTACACTTAAAAGTTATCCTACACTGTACAGCTGTCATAGTTAGAACACAGTTACTGAAAATCATAGTTTATTTGCTGTAATGCTTTCCTAATGAATGCAATCTTCAACAGTACAGCCTTGCTAGAGGTTATGGTAAGTGGGTTTACATGGACAGCCCCACAACTACAACTGTGTTTAAAATCGGAGCTGATGACCTGTATGTACTAAATTTGAGGCACGTATTAAAACAAGATAAGATTAATGCTGATTAAATTGTATTTGCAGACAGAAAGCTACATGCAGCAAATACACGAACAGCAGGAACAGATAGAGCTTCAGAACAATATTATTGCAAAACTGAAGTCACAGTTAGGTGCTCTGAATGCTAATAGAGGTACGTACCCAAGTTTGCACATGCTATTTCTTTCTATGCTGTCTTGCACTGATAAACAGTTCCGAGTTTGTTGCTTCCACTTTTACAGTAAACATCCCTCAGAGTAATGCCACACTTTTCTGTGAAAGCAAGAGTTAATACAAATGTGCAGTTTCAAACTGTATTTATAAAATGCATCATTTTCAAGGTCTTTCTGCATCTTCCTCAAGAACTGCTGAGATTTTCTTCAGATGAAGAACCTACTCACACTGAAGTCAAAAGTTATATGAACACAGATAAAAATAACTCACTATAATTAAATTTGTTTTATATCAGTTTTACAGTTGTCTGTAAATAGGTCTAGCTGCTAGGTTCTTTTAGATGTGATTACTATGGATACATATCTATTATGATAGATGCTAACATGATGTTAGGGTGCTGTTCTTACTGGATAACTTAAGCCTTATAAGCAGGTAATGCTCCTTCAAATCAAACGGTCATTGATGGGTATTTTTCTGCTTTTTGACTATTTGTATTTCACAAATAAAAGAAAACAAAGAGTCAAAGTAACCATGTGCTAATCTGCCATACTTGTTCAATATTTACTCACACTAGCCTCACACTCCTGATTTTGATAAATACTAGCAAAGTGGCTGACTTTTATTTTTAGGAATACATGTACTTCCCTTACTGCTGAATTAATCTTGCATTTTCCCTATACAGGGAATGGGGCTTCTCTTGTTTGTTTAATATGAAAACTAACTTAAAGAAACTGAAGAAGTTAATATAAGTCTAGCTTTTTTTTTTTTTTTTTTTTTTTTTTGATTTTGATTTAGAATTTGGCTAGGGAAAATAGTGACAATCAGTGGCTTTTTATTTCAAGGTAATGTGAATTCCTACATTCTGATGCCTGAAGAAACCCAAACCTCCAACCTAACGTTCAGCCAGCTCTCTGAAAAACTGAACATAGCAAAGCAAAGAGAAAAACTCCTAAAGGTATGGTCACCTGCAGATATTTAACGTAAGATCACATTTGTGCTGTGATTATACTATGAGGATTTTTAAAAGGTGAATTTTCACTGGTACATTTGAATTGCCTTTCTTCCTGTGCAAGATTCCTACCTGAAGTGCATGAGGATTGTGTCCATGTGATTTGGCTAGTTGAACTAATAAACATCTTTCGTGCTTCCCTATGCAGTAGCTGTTTGGCCATCCAGCTCTCTAGAATAATTTTGAGGAACTTATTGCCTGTTTATTTCTTAACCTGCTGTAAATAACAGTCAAAGGAGACTTCCTCTTTCTCTCAGAAAAGCTTCTCATCCTGTCATCCTGCAGCAAGTGAGTGTATTTTTCCAAGAAGAAATGAAGAATCTGTTCCCATAAAGTAATGGGGTAGAAAGTGAACCCATGGCTGTCTGCTGCTCTGCAAACATGAATGTTACGTTTGCTTCTTAAACAGCCAGTTCTAATACTGTGTCTTTCCTTCTACTCTTCACCTAGTGGCTGAATAGCACTGATGCTTTTGCTACTGCCTGCTGAGAGAAACGGGAATAATAAAGGAAAAGCAAATACTTTTTGCAAGTCTTTGTCATGCAAGACTTTGTCTTGCATGTTTGAGAAAGGCAGTAAAAATAGATGCACAAACTTGTCTTGTTCTTATCTTATGTCAAGCTACTGTGTTTTAGGGTTCTGAGTACTAATATTCATGGCAATAACCTGTAAAATCATCTTAAAAGACCTATGTAAAGTTAGCCATGAAATTAAAAGTACTTTGTTTCAGGGTTTCCCAAGTGTGAACTATGAACAAATGAAATGTACTCAATTCACAAAAATGCAGTCTTTAATCAGAAGTGTTAACTGGAAAGTAATTTTATTGATTTACAGATGTCTATTAGCTATCCTGAAGAAATCTGACCTGAGATTAAAACCTTACAAAATCTATTATTACCCTCCTTTTTTATATTTAAAAAAAAAATCTTTGTAGATTCTAATCCTATTATATAATTTCTTTCTTATTCTTTCTTATATTTTGAGTACAAGATGGTTGAAGGGTTAATTCCCTTATGGAACATCTTTGCATATTTTTTACATTTCTCTGCCTTGAATCAGATAATACTTTTTTTGTAGCAATTGTACATGGAGACTTAACCAAGCCTAGTTGTCCATACCCTTGTTTCTGAATGTGTTTCTGAATGCCTGCTATAGGACAACAGTTTATGTAACATGACCATAAAATGGGTATAAGAAAGGAGGGCATGTTAAGCAGTCTTGTCATGTGGGGAAACACTGGGAATTGATGTGATCTATACAGATCTTCACAGGCAGTGAATAACAGGTAGAAATCATTAGTTCAGATCCTGATGAGTTACATATGATGGATTATAAATTATCTTTACCTGTATTTTGGTTTAGTCAGTTATGATGGCTGCTTGTCGTTAATAAGCAGTTAATCTGGATTTTGTTTCATTCGTGTCATGGACAGAAAGATTTTGATATAATTCCATGCAAAGTCAGATATCAATTTGTTGATTTGCAAGAGTCTATCTGAGCTTAAACCCAAGCTCAGACCCTGTGCATACAGGGCCATTTCAGAAGGATTCAGCTGAGACCTAAACCAGGTTTGCTAGCTGAATGCAGAGTGCAACTGTACTGCATGGAATGAATGCCTGGAACAACTGAGAAAATGAACAAAATAACAGGACCAACTAGAGCTCATCTGAGAGTTCCCAATGTGTTGTATTTGTGAATACATGAATAAGGAGTCATCAAATAATTTGGGACAGATTTAAAAAAAAAAAAAAAAAAAAAAAAAAAACCTTCCTGCAGAAGATTATTGTATATGATAGAAGTTTTTCTTCAATGGAAAACTGGACGACTTTATGGAGGAGAAATCTGTCTGTTTCTAAATGCATAGAAACTACTGGCTAAGGAAACCTGGGAATTTATTAGAGGATATATCATGCTTTTGTTCTTGTAATCTTCCCCAAACGTCATCTTTTGCCTGTGTTAGACTAAAAATCCACCATCCTGTCACTGACCTACTATAGTACTTCTTACATAAAAACATGTTTTGGGATATGCTCATTTCCCTTTATTATCTAAGTTACTTAGTCTGGGGCCCAGTTCAATCAATTCCTGTCTTTTTTAACCATTTAAATTTGGAAAGTCTTTTAATATTCTATTTGAAAAAAAATGTATCTATATTATTCTATATTCCATATTCTATTCCATGTTCATTTCTAAAACAGTATTTAAAACTATTGTCTTCTGTTGCATTAACTACTTTATTTCTCCAATAAAGTTTTTAGGCTTGCAAAATCTATAATTCCAGATTAAAAAAAAAAAATCATGATTATTGTTCTTAATTTTAAGTTAAAATGTCATATTTCTGACTGTCCTATCTTGAAACTTAGAATCTCTTTCATGACTGAAGCTCTATGGATTTGCCCTTACCTACTGGATTTAACAAAACTCCGTTTCCAGTAGGATTTCTCGTGGTCTGTATTCTGCACTCCATTAGAGCTGATGGAAATGCCAGGTGTACACAACCAAAGCTTAATTTTCAGAGGTCTGAAATGGAGGGCAGAGGAATTATAGGTTTTCTAGCCTCAAAAACTTGGCCATACTTCTGTGTTTTAGCTGCTGTTGGCAGTTTTGTTGCCAGTGTTTTGTTGCCTAAAGTGTTTCCTTTGTTCACCTTTCTGTGTATTGATTAAAGCATGAACTGATTCCTGCATGACTCTTTCTGGGCACCTGCTTTGTGCAAGTCTGCCTGTTTTCCTCTAGCATTCTGAATCTGAGCTGGAATTTATGTATGAAAAAAACACAGGTAATCATTGTGCTTACATGAATTTTAAAGAATTAGCTGGGAAGTCTTTAAAAAAAATAGCAAGAGAGGTCTTTTCCTTACTCCAATGGATTAATTGCAAATGTTTGGATAATGTCTGTAGGATTAAATTCACAAAACTCCTTGACTCCTCAATCTGGATATTTGTCAAAAAAAAAAATGGCAAGATAGTAATCTTCATGGAATATGTTGCCTGACTTGACTTTAATAACTGGAGAGAATGTAGCTATGATTATTTCAAAACCACAGCTGCTGAGCAAATAAAAAAATAGCAGTAAGCAGGATTAGACATTGTCAAAGAAAACTTCTGTGTTTCTTCTGCATGCAGCTTTTAGTGTAAGTCTTGCATCTGATTCCTTGTAATCTGCATAAAACGTGACACTCAGGTCAACATCTGCAACAAGAAAACATATTCATGTTTATTGGTCAGACTTTATTTTGCTGTGACAAAGGGAAAGAAGCTGTGTCAAGAATGAATGATATATGTGGTATATAAAATTGTTCAATGTGCAATAATTGTTTAGGTCTTTCCTTGTGTAGAATATAACAGAGGAATGGCAGATGCAGAGAAGTCTTCCTGTGCTCAGGAGCGGGGTGCTAAAATGACCTAAGTAACTGGGAGCAGCAGCTACTGCAGCAGTGTAAGGGAGAGCTGAGTGTTCCAGGCAACGTCTGCATCTCTAGTGTTGCTTGTTCCTATCGTCCATGCAAAGAAAGCTGTACTTTATGACTTTACTTGATACTTCTGTGCATTTAGCTGTTTTGTGCCACTGACATTAACTATTAGTTAGGTCCTAGTGTTTGATCCAGGCAATTCTGGTATTGGTATAGGGTTTTTTTTTTAGGCTATGTCTACCTAAAAATAACAAAGAATGTGTGGTTAAACTGTTAAAAGACATTACAGTTTATATTTCCAGTAGCTTGTTAGTCAGATAGTGTTTTCCTTGAAACCATCTATAAATTTTTGCTTATCTCAGAAAATCCCTAAATAGACCATTAAAGCATGCTTAAAAAAATAGAAAAAAAAAAATCCTTGGAAACCCTATGGAAAAGGAACTGGGGCTGTGGTATACAGCAGGCCAAGTATAATTCAGCTGGGTGCCCTGGCAGGAAGAGAAAAGCAACAGCCTCTGGGGCTCTATGTACAGGAATACAGGGAGCAGAGTGAGGAGAGTAGTTACCTCCCTCTATTTAACACTCATTAGACTGGATCTGGAAAACTAGAGCTAGTTTGGGGGTCTCAGGCAAAGGAAGGTCATTAATAGACTCATGTGAGTACAGCAGAAAGCCCAACGATATAGTTGGACGTTAGAGGACCTCGTCTGTGGGAAGAGACTAAGGGACCTGCACTCTTTCAGTCTCAAGAAAGCTTTGGAGGAGCTACAAGCCACTTGGCAGTACCTCCAAGGAAGCTATGAGGAGAACAGGCTCTTCATATGCAGTGTGTCTAAGTTGAAATAAGAGAGATTTCGACTAGATACAAGAAAAAGCTTTTCAGTATGAGGAAGGACATCCAGGCACTGGAAAAGGTTGCTAGGAGAGGTGGCAGAGTCTCCATCCTTGGAGATTTTCAAGACCAAACTGAGTAATATGGTCTGACCTCATAGCTGACTATTGCTCATTGCTTTGAGCAGGAGTCTGGACTAGAGACCTTCTGAGATCCCTCTGACCTGAATTATCCTGTTATCCCATAAGGCATCTCTGAAAGAAAAGTCGTTATCTGTTCAGAATACAGTTGTGACTTCTCTGCTAGTGTCAGCACACTTCAATGAGTCATGTGGTTGAGGATGTTAACCGAGTAGATATCACCTGTGTGACATGGCTGTCGTGGCATTAATTTTACGAACTTCAGCCAATTTAAAAATGGAGCTGCGTTGTAGAAACCTCCCAAACTCAATTATCTTTAGAACGGTAACATCATCGAATTACGAAGGGCTGTGTTATTGTTAGATCTCCAAAGGTTTAACAGTTTCTCCAATATTATTCCTGCTGTGAGGTCCTGACAGTATGCAAGAATGAAGACTTGCATCAGTATGTACGAATTTATCTTCTTTGCAACATGTTGTGTATCAGTAACTGCCATGCTGGTGCTTCATGGCTCTTCTCACTGTTGACTGTGAAAATGGCTTTCCTCATTACTTAAATCTTGTCCCCGTTTCCTGCAAGAGAAGGTGGGAGAAACGGAAGAGAACTACTGGAGGTTATTGTAGTTGAAGCAGTCACAAGCTTAAGGGTAGCTGTGTCTTTTCATGTTTCTTTTGTTCATGAAGCAACACAGAAGCCTGCTGTGTAGCTGCCGAGATTTTACTGTTATTCTCCTGCAACATGATGTTTTTCAGGCTTTCTTTGTAGTCTTTAAAGAGCATGGCAAAGGTAAATAATTATGAAATTGTTTCCAGTCTCTGCTCAAGCTCTAACTTTCTTCAAAGTATTTTCAGATGTTTTAAGAATACTTTTATCCATGTCTCTATCTCCTCCTAACCTAAATTGTAATGTGAGAAGAAAATTGTTTTCTTCCCACATTATTAGATATGTTTTTTGCATTCTTTTTTCATCATCAAATATTTCTTTGACTCAATCTGAACTTCATATAACTCCCAGTTCAGTCTTTTTTGCATTCCCCTTTAAGAAAAAAAACTTAGCTGCTGTAGCATCAGTTACAAAACTTAATGAATATGTTTTTTAGCCTGAAAACTGCAGATGTCTTGTTCTTTTCAAAACTGTATCCAAAAATCTTTCTTCTTTTCTTTTTTTTTTTCCCTCTTTGCACCATTTCTTTTCATCATCCACTTCCCTGGACTCTTATCTAGTGTATAGAGATTCTGTGCAGGAAGAGGATGGGAAGTGCTCCGTGGTCTGTCCTAGGAATATGCGTATGTACAGTGATATTGCCCAGCCTCAATTATATTAATTATATTGGTGTTTCTAAAACTATCTTTTAGGAACAATTAGAAAATGAGAGCATTAGGATGAAGCAAATTGAGGAAAAGAACAATCAAAAGGAAATGAAACTTATGTCAGTTATTTCCAACCAAGAATATAAAATAAGAACTCTGAAAATCAAATTGAAAGAATTAAATGAAGCACTGAAGGGTATACAGATGCCAATATATAAAATGGAGGTAAGATATGAAAACAAGGTAAAATGAAAAAAGAATGTTGTAATTTTTCTTTCAAGTATGTTTGTACCAATTAATCGGATAAACACATTTTAAAATTTAGCACTATGAAGTTCCCAGGCAATTGTTTAACTCTATGAAGTATATAGTGACCTCTAAACTATTAAATACGTATTGGTTGGTTTGTGTGATAATTATTTTTGTGTTATGTCATTAGAAAGTTAAATAGTATTTATGAAAACTTCAGATCAGCACTTGAGTTTTGCAGTTTTCAGTCTGGAGTTTTCTCTAACATGAAGTTGATTTCCTCCTTTTCCCTTGTATCCCGTACTCCTTTTGTCATGGAAGAACATCTAGAGTGAACAGTACCTGCGGAGCAGCTATAGTCACATATGTCAAATGTGATCATGGAAATAAACTCTAGCTGACTAGAGTTCTTGACATGAACTTAGTTGAAAGTGTGAGCAAAGCAACACCTAACTTGTAGTTATCAGACTTCCCAAACATTTTCTTACCTTCTTGTAGCAGGTGTTTGCAACCCATATTGCTGGTATAGTTGCATCAGTAGCAGAAATTGTAAAGGAGCTCAAATGTTTGTCTACAGGAGCTGCAATCCCACCTCACTGCAAGGCAGACAAACTGTAGGCTATAGGACTGTGACTATAAACAATATATCATTGAAATCAGCTATTTTGACAGGAATATGATCACGTTCTGCATCTGATTTGGAGTATATGTAACCTACCAGGTTATCTGCTAATGTAAATCTACTGAATTGCAACTTAATGACTGCTTATGGTAAAAAAATCATTTTTTAATACCTAGCATGGCCTTAAACCTATGTAATACTAATGTAAACCACAAGGTGGTAGTCAAAGTTAATAACTTCTTTAAAAACATAATAAAACTTCTGGAACATTAGCTTTTGATGTGCTTGTTGAAAATGTTAGTGAATAAGTTGATTGTTATAAGAGCTAAAGTATCTCTGTAACAAGTTTAAACACAATTGCATGTAGTCAGAATTACACACATTTAGAACAGAAAATATTCATAGGACATTTCCCTTTCTTTCAAAGAAGTAAGAACAGGGAATGCTACACTAAATTGTGCTAAGTTAACCTAAAATAAAGGTGTTTCGGTTAAACAGCATAAAAGAGCCTCTGTCATTTTGTGAATGTTTTGGGAGAAGGATTAGCTGTGACATTCATGATTCATATCAGCAAATGATTATACTAACATGTGATCCATACTTCTCATGTTTTACTTCAAGGTGAAAAGCAAGAAAGTTGTTCCAGAGAAGGATGAGTTATCTCTAGGGATCTCTGGTATTTCATCTATGTCTGAAAGGTAAATATTTTTGCAGCATTTTTGTTAATTTGCTTGTAATTTTTTTTTTTACTACTAAATAGCTATTTTCCCTTTTTTTTAAATAGTACCTTGAAAAAAAAGAAAAAAAAAGGAAGGAATAGGCTGTCAAAGAGGTCATGTGGGGAATGAAACAAAGCCAGTGAGCATATGAAACCATGATTGAGGCTTTACAAGAATAGACGGATAAGCAGGGAAGGAGAAAAATAGCAACTTGGTTCAGTGGCAGTTTCAATTGTACAGGAATGAGTAAACTTTGATGCTGATTTGGGGTGAGAATTAACTCCCTTGCATTAAGTTACTTCAGAACAGGAGCATGCAACCAAAATGAATGAACTGATGGCAACACAGCAGAGCTGCCTGTTGTGCTGCCGGGGATGCTGTGAGGGTCAGCATGAAGAAATGATTCTTGGCCTCATCCATCCCAAATGGGAAAGTTCACATCCGTCTTTTTTCTGTAAGATGAAGTTTTTTATTCCTTTTGGTCATCAAGGGACCAAAAGCATTTCTTAAGCAACTATTCCTTCTGCAGCGTGTGTTTTGGGAGAAGTATCAGCTGAAGTCTCCAGCTAGCATCTTCCATGGTGTATATATAGTAATATCACTTTTAACAACCTAAGTGGTAATACCATGTTTAACAACCTTTGCTTAGGTGAAGTAGAAGCTTCTCAAAGGTGGGAGAGTATTGGGGAAAAGTGTTACATATATTTTTGCTGGTTTTATACTCTTGCCTAGACCTCTGCTTTTGGCCATTCTCAGACATGGGATTAATGAACTAGATGAATCTTTAGTCTGACTCATTAAGACTATATGATGACAAAAAGGAGTGGAAAATTAGACTGTGATAAAGACTGTTTTGTCTTCGTGAATTTTTTTCTAAAGAAGAATTAAAAACCTTTACCTGTCTTCTGTCTCCCTCCTCTCAAATAGCTCCCTTACTTTCCTCTTTTCTTGGAAGGAGGTATGTGGCCGGGAAAACTAGTAAGATTATTCTCTCACAGATGTCTAGCAGATGAAGGTCGATTGACCTAATCATATGTATGTGTTAAAGTTATGATTAGAAATTTGTAGTATGGATTATTTTTTTATTTCTTACTGAAATGACTGAAAAAATGATCAGAACACAAGTGTTAATGTTGCTCCTTTCAATAGATGTTTCCTTTTTGAAATGAGATGCACAGATAGATTTGTTTCTTTAAAAAGAGTCAAATGAGTTTCTCAGCAGAAGTAGGAACACAACTCATGACGCTCCTGATTACTATATGAACAAGCAGTAAAAAGGAAAATGATTCACTGGATTAAAGAAAAATCTCTTTTGAGCTACTTTGATACAAAGAGAACACAAAAGCAGTTTGTCCTCAACGTAAGTTTTTCATCCTTAAATAAAGTTCATTTTATAATATACAAAAAAAAGTGCTTAGAGATATAGATTACTCAGTAAGTTTATCGAAATTGCACAATGAAATTTTATGGTTAAATCAATAAACTGAATAATCTGCTTGCCTTCAGGCAAGCAAAACTCACACTTGCAAGAATAGCTACATTCTTAGCGTATATTTACCATGCTTAGTGCATGTAACAAAGTATTTCATGGAGACATAATACTCTGTAGAAGATTATATTTAAAAAAAAAGATTTCTCAGAGTGAAAAGAAAGGTATATGATGCTGCAAAAAGCAGAGAAGCAAAGAATCTCCAGCCCCTCTCCAAAATGTCAGGTAGATGAAAGATGGACGGAACAGTAACAGATACCTACAGTGTTCATTCTCTTGCAAAGTCTGAAGGCCACAGGAAGAAAAATAGTTAATATTCTCTGTAAAATGAGATGGAAGCAGCACCTCATAAAAGATAAGCTATTCCAGTAGTACTAGAAGGAACTGAGAGAAATGTAGAGGCTGGATGTGCTTTCAGGCAGAACCCAAAGCTTGCATGTTTGTGTCTATGATATGACTAAGCCACTCTTTCACTATGTTTTTTCCCTTTTCTCCTTGCTTTTACTAAGGAGAACAAAAATGTATATGCATATGTTGAGGAAAGACATATCCAAGAAATGTAGCTTACACTATTGTTTTTCTCTGGTTTGTGGGTGTGACTATAGAATTGAAGGCCATGAAGAGCTGAACTGGTTGACGCTTTAATTTACAATTTTAATTCACAATTTTGATCTTCCAGGGAGAATCTGGAGACTATTTTCCAGGAGATGGAAGAAGAATGTCATCAAATATGTATGCTAGCCGGAGAACAAACAGACCAGCTGAGTAAATTTAAGATAAAGCGAGAACCTGAAGCTGGTAATATCTTTCTTAAGCTCTTATTGTGATTCAACTGTTTGAAAGCTTTGCTTTATATTTGAAAATACTGTAGATTACACATACATAGAAGTACTTCTACTGTTTACCATCTGCCTTTTTCAAGTCTGTTCACATGGTCCATGGTATTTTACCAAGAAAACACACCACCAGGTTTGGCGTTCTGTGGCGATTGCTCTGAATCCCTGCTGCAAATGCAGTCCTCACACCAGTGGCTCTCGTAATTCTTCTGTCCCTTGCATTGAGAGGCAGGCACTTACTACAAGTAATATCCCATCATGTTACGTGAGTGACAGCACTTGCTTTTGATTAAACTGCCAGTTCAAAAAATGTCTGTTGTGAATGTCTCTCCCCCATACTTGATAAGAGAAAGCTGCTGGACTGAGGAGAGACAGAGACCTTATTTTCTAAAGTTTGTTGTGCACATTTGTAAATAGTTTTGTTACATGGGACAAGAACCAGCACTTCTGGAAAGGCAGAAAAGACTTGATTTTTGTGGCAACTAGAAGAGGTCTTGAAGTTCTATTTCAGCTAATACTTATATTGGAGATGATGTTCAGTAATGTGTAATGGCTAATAGGACCGTTCCTACACACTTTTCTTGATGCTAGGATCAGGCTCTAGGCGATTTCGGAAACACCCTGCAGACTTGCATGCTTGAAACAGAAGGCACTGAATCCAGCACTTGCCTGTAATTTAAGTCATGCCATTAGGCAAGATTTCTTTTGGTTTGTTTGATTTTTGTTTTGATTTTTTTTTATATGTATATGAAGTTAGAATGTGTAACTTGTGGCTTCAAATGGCTACAGTTGAACTATATTGTTGAATTCTGACTGAACACTACCAAACTTTGTGACTGGGGAGAGAGGAAGGAGGGAGGAGAAACTGAGGGGAGCTTGGAAACTTATTCCAGACTGGACTTGTTTTTCATTAAATCTGTGCCTAACTCAGCTATGTGAAAAGCTATGTGTGATATAAATCTTTGATTTCTGCTACTTATATGGCCCACTTTACTATGATATCTGAGTGATGTCAGGAGGCCGTAGTACAATAAATGTGCCCTGAAGTAGTTCCCTCTCCTGATTAGGAGTAATCGTGTATTACTTTTGTTACTAAAGTGCCCTAAGTGTATGGAGAATTCTCAAAACACAGGGAAAATACGGTCGCTCTTCGGAATAGCTATACAGTTGAAGTGTTCATAATATTTAGAAATCAATGGGAGTTCAGTACCTGAATACCTTCTAAAATCTTGCTAATGGTGCCTAGCATGTTGTTGGCACTGTATGAAATAGTTTTGGTTCCAGCTTCTATTTCTGCCAGAACACTTCAGTAAATATATGCAAAGATGTGTTAAGAGTATAGGACAACATAAGTTTCAATAAAATGGAAATATTTATAACCATAAATCAAAGAGAAGTTAAAATTATTAGATGGAATGATTTATATTTCTTCTGATCATTTTTGTCTTGGAGGTAATGTCTGTGAAAGAGAAATGTGCCTCAGACTTCAAAGAAAAAAAAAAAAAGGTTAAAAGGCCAAGAAGGAAAATGAGAAGCCTCTCAGGAAAATTATTCCTTCTATGCACCTTCATAATTATTTTCAGACAGATAATTTAATGTTTTCTTCTTTCTTTTTTCACAGAAATACAGTTTTCCATGCCTATACAGTGTACTGATAAAACTGATGAACAAGCAGAAGAGCTTTTTAAACCTCGGGTTATAAAGGATATAAATAGAGGTGCATCATGCATCACATCTATCACACCAAGAGGAGTGGGCCAGGATGAGGACAACAACTCTGTAGAATCACTTTCTAAATTTAATGTCAAGTTTCCACCTACAGACAATGACTCTGCTTTCTTGCAAAGCACTCAGGATAAACCAACAGTTCCTTGCACTGCTATAGCTGAGAACATGCTTCAAGATCATCATTTTAACCTGGAGCACAGAGACCATGCTGTTAACCTCAGTAAATTGGAATCTAACTCATTCGAAGCACATAGAGTTGATCTCATGACCTCAGCTTTACAAAACTTAACTATTGTTGACAAAACAGCCCCCCAGAATCATGCCAACTTGCCCATAGAAAATATCTGTGACAAAACATGTTTGAAAACGACAGAAACTGGTCTCACATTTGTACCTAAGCACACAAACCCTGCTGTACCTGAAGTGATTTTTCCTTCCCTAGAAGCCGCCGGAACAACCATCAGAGGTCCTCAACAGGTACCTTTCTGTTCTGTTCCTACTGTGCATTTCAGAAAAGGTAACGGTTCAGGCAGCTGCTTTGCAAAGGCTTTGAGAGAGGATTACTCAATTCTGCGCGGTATCTCACTTGCCCATTTTTCAAGAGCGTGTGTTGCAGCAGTTCTCCCTCGTAGTGATGTGTGTGTACGAGGACTTTTCCAGTGAAACAGGGCAGGAGCTGAAGCAGATGTAAGCGCTGTATATGCTTGCACAAATTTCCGGCCATGTAGATAGTAGATACTAATTGCTCCTGTATTTATTTCAGAGCTGTCATTAATACCTCAAATTACCCCCCTAAATTGCTTTCTTTCGGCTCTTGAGCTCAGATTAATAGAGTGTATATTTTTTTAATTGCTTTCATACACAGCACGGTGTATGACAAACAGACCTAACAGGCAAAAAAAAAAGGAAAAGAAAAAAGTAAATAGAAAAATACTTCACTAGGAAAATGAAAAAAAATGATCTGGTCTTCATCAAGATTTGAAGTTTATAAGCAGCACCCCAACTCTTCCCCTGTAGGAAAACTTAGAATATGTTATTCATATTAAACAATCAAGTAAGAAAGATTTTCTTTTTTTGTAAGTAAACAGGAATACGCTAAAATCCTGAGTTTAGGTTCTCGTAGATACTTTGGGTGTGAATTTCAGTCATGCCTATTTAAGTCCATGGGAGCTTCTAAAAGCAAGGTCTGCTTGCAGGCTCGTAAGGCAGCTCTCACAGTCACATCTCTGAATATTTTTTCTAATTTTGTCCCATGTTCCGTCTCAATCGAAATTACTGGCAAAATTATTCTGGACTTAGATAGGCTCAGAGTTTTTTATGATTTTGTGACTTCTCCTCCTTGTGAGAGGAGAGCTTATTCAAGAGTAAAGCAAACTTTAGATATTTAGGAAGTATCTTAAATGTCAAAAACAAACTTTTGATATTTAGGAAATCTGCATTTACAGGATTTTTACTGTATGCATTGATGTAGTTTTGTATTCTTTGCCAGCGAGAGGGGACCTGCAGCAAAAGAGCTTGATCTCTCTATTTTGTCGCTGCTTGACAAGCAAAACTAGCGTTTGGAAAGCATTTTTTAGGACATCTTACATTTTGTGATTTTCTCCGCTAAAACCTACCTAGTCTAGCTTAATTTTTCTATTGTAAACACTTTTGGATGGAAAGTTGAACATGTGGAAACTTTGCTGCCCTTCAGCATCTTATTTTAAACTATAAGGCTGGTTTTTCAAATGCTTCTTCAAATATTTTAAATGCCTATTTGTAATGTAGAGGATCTCAATTCTATACTAACTTCATAACAGCACTTCCTTCATGCTTTATTTTTCATTGGATCCTCACTTATAGTTGTGACTGAGTTAAATTAAACCATTTATTTTATTACTGGCAGAATTCCTGGGGAGCTGTGAAGCATTCACTCTACTGCTTGATACTCTTCTCTCTTTCTCTGTTCTCTCTCCAGCTTGTTCTTTTACTAGTTAGTCTGTGTATTCATTTTTCAATAGATGGCACCCTGCATTGTGTATTACAGCAAGTGAAACAGCTGGTATGTGATTATAAATTGATAGGGGAGGATGCTGCTTAAAAAGTAGAGATTAACTGCTGATGAATAGCAATAACCCTTTAGGTTTGCTTTTATTTCTGCAAAATAAGAAAATTAATTTAGGTCCGTCATTTAGAATGGAAATAGTCTATTTTGTGGAGAAAATATAATAATGCTCATATTGGAGGGACGGGGGGAAAGCAATGGGAAGCTGTTTTGGTATTTATAAGTCATATAGCACTGTAGAACATAAAGAAAATTGATTTAAATGTTGTATCTTATCCAGAATGTTTGAACTGAACAGTTTTACTGTAGAAACCATATACATCTGCCTATATATGTCTAAACACATTTCACCTTTATTTTAGCAGCCTTCAGAAGGTTAGGGTACATGTTTTGGCTGATGAATAGGATTCAGCTTTGGACTTTTTGCTCACTACTGTGTTGAGGGTGGGATTTAACGATAATATATATATGTAGATTAAAATACTGATGCTTTTAAAAAGTTCCTTGCACTCATGCCCTTTGGACTACATTTCACCTTAGTCAAACCTATGTGTAATGCTTGTTTTTAGTATTTTTGACACCTTCTTGTGGAGTAGTTGTACTGCTTGTGGTTTCCGTCATCCTTACTTACTATTAGTGATGCTCCAGTAAGGAGAAATGAGATACCTGATTTCTTTCCCTAGTGTAGATAAAACTTTCAACTATTTACTACATATGTTAACTTATAAAATGGAAAACCCCATAAATGCAATAGATTTGGCAACAGTAAGTTCTTGGAACTGTTCTCAGTTGCTGTAATAAATTTAGCTCTTTCCTTCTTTGTGGATACTAAATGTGAAAACTCAGCACTGTTTCCTTAGGATGTAGTAACTTTTTTCAAAAACGTGTGACTGAAAAGAGCAGCAGTTTAAAATAAACATGGATATTAGTGGACATGTGATTTTACAGACTACCATTAACCGAGACTTGCACATTTATGCATTTGTGTACTGGATGCTCACAGTTTGAGGGGGTTATTTCTACCAAAGATTTCACAGAGGATTTTAAAAGCAAGTCACTCATCCGTGGATCTTAATCTGACTATTAACTTTCTTGTGAAGAAACATTTACTTAAATACATTCCTATTGAGAAAAAAAATATTTTAAGCACGTGCTTAATACTCAAAGGAAGAAATGGAAGTTAAGTGCCTGTTTCAGTCTGTTGCTGGCTGAGCTGTGTTGTGTTTCTAAGAACAGAAATCTTGTTACGTCCTCAATAGAGTTTTTACAAGAACACTTCAGCTTTTTGAAATAGCATTTCCTTACCTGAAGTGATATTAAAAATCAGTAGTTGTAAACATTTTGTAGGAATATTTAAGCGTGTCAGTTTCTAGATAGATTGATATGCAATTTACACCAACAATATACAATAAGGAGACTCTCTGAGCTGGAAAAAAAAAAAAAAGTGGTGTGATTGCACTTAATTACTAATTAGTCGATTTAATTATATGGATTGCTGACCATAATGAAAGACAGTAAATCTGCTACTGCTGTTTGATGAGCTAAACACCGTTTAAACATGGAACAGGCAGGAAATTGACTCCAAGAAGTTGCAGCTGGTTTAAAAGGTAAGGATTAACCACGGTGAGAGCCAGGTTAGTGGCACAGTGAGTTTCCGTGAGAAAAGGAACAAAAGATTCCAACCATTTGCTCTGATGACATTTGAATGGGAGCTGAGAACTAAGACTCTTGGGTAAGTATAGATAGCAAGAAATTTAAAACTTCAGAAGAAACTACTTTCTAAAGTATTCTTACTTGCCTTTCCATGTGTGATTGAGGCAGTGGAAAAGGAAGGAGAGCCAAAAAAGCTGTGGGGCTCTCTCCTCTCGGAGGCTGCATCCCCACACAGAGCTGATAGCAGCTTGCTGCCACTCCGCCTGCTCTGCACTCACAGCAGTGTGCATTTAGTTTTCAGTGTGCTCAAAACCTCCTCTTTCTGGCCATCTAACATAACGATGCACTTTACCCAGTGTTGCTAATATTCTTGAAACTTGATTCACTTTGCTTGGCAAACAGACAGAAGACATTTTGTTTCCTGCTGATATCAAGCTATATTATGTCTCTGACTTAAAGTGCATCTCACCTTATAACTGCGTTGTCAGCTTTAAACTAGTCAGTTTAGTTCAGGTACCCAGAACAGTACAGCTGCAGAAACCCAGTTTAGTGTCATGTACGGAATTGCCTGAATGGTGAATATTCAGATGGCTCTATTAAGCTGGTGCTGTCATTGCAGAGTGGATCACAAAGCTGAGGTTATTTAGTATACATATACACTAAAAGGCAGTCAGATTAGACAAGTAACTTAAGCCATATGACATTGCTCCACTTTTTCTCTCAGTAAACAGAAAACTAGATATGTGCCAGTAAGAATAAAGTCAGTTTCATATTCACTTTTTACACTAAGTGTATATTTTATTCTGAAGTAAAAATGTGCATTCTTTTTTTCTGTTACATAGCTAAATGTACTATGGTTTCTACAGTAAAACACTGAAATAAAATGTTAATGAAAAGCCTTAATAGTATTTATCATACTGACATTAAATTTTGTTCACAGCAGCAGTATTTATCAGCAGTAGGTACCAGAGTATTTTTAATCTCTGCAAGGATTGCATGTTTGTGGAACTTAAAAAAAGTCCTGTCTTGCAGTTGCAAGTGAGAGCTTTCTAGTTATGTCCCTGGTCAGGAGGTGTAAAGTGCACATAGTTGAAACAGGTAGGGTTTTCTTTAATATATAGAACTGTATTTTTTGTAAACCACACAGCAGCTATTTTCTGTTTCTTTTAGCTTGTTTGGCAGCCTCAAGACAATGTTTTGCTGGCACAAGCCTATACAGACTCTGAACCGAATCAGTGTGGAATATGTGAATTCTGCCGAGAAGCTTTCCCACCATCTCTAACATCTAAGGAAGATTTTCTTCGGCATCTGAATTCCCACTTTAAAGTACAGTCTTAATATATGAGAACTGAATGGATTACTGGGTTTGCATACATTTGATTTTTGTATTCAATAGATAGATCTGCTAAGAATTTTAGATTTAAGACTTTCTATAACAAGAACTCATAGCTGAAATTGTCAGATGAGCACTTTTTAAATTGTCATCTGACAAGGTAAAATGAAAACATAAGTCACTCGGGACTGTAATTCGCATTATTACTTGTATTACTTGTTGTGCTTCAATATTACCTTTGAGATTGATGTTAAAAACTGAGTTTAGTTTGGGTTTTTTTTTTTTTTTTTTCTCCTTAATTAATGCTTGCCGGAATAACCCCAAAGTCGTGCTCATGTGCACGAATACAGATTTACAGTAGCAAGACCTTCATCTGGGAAGGCTGGTATCACATTTGGATTTTTTCTTAGCAGCTACTGACATTCTGTTCTTAAAGTAAACTGAGAGGAGAAGTAGGGTCTTGTTTAAAAATTCTGTTATATATTTACCAAATTTAATCATTTCATTTACAACGTGAACTATTTAAGTTGGATGCTCAGGAGGTCAGTGAAGTACCTGAATGCCAGGTGTGTCAAAATTGGGATAGGCTTGTTCACTGATAATAAAAATGTCTTTCCCATGTCATTTTTATTAAAGCCCAACACATTACTGTCTGTTTTTACAGCATAGAATTAACCCTTTTGCTAAAATGTAACAGTAGCAATTTTATGTACATCTGATAAATATTGGTGAAAGATAACAACTTTGTTAGTGTACTTTTCAAGCTCTACAATATTCTTTCACAAAAAAAAATTATATTGATATCAAGGATGAAGTGAGAAAAGACTAAATGTTTCCTTAAACCAAGCGTATCAAAGGTGATGAAAAAGAGTTTGAAAGGTACCAAAAGTGTCTGAAACCTTTGGTTTGTCTGCCACGGAGTATTGTTCAAATCCCTTATGGCCTAGAGGGGAAAGAGGAAAAACCTCTTCACCCAAATCTAGACGACATCATTTTTAACTTGCACCTGGGAGCTTCCTCAATGCAATTTAAAATCATGTTTAATTGCAACATTGCAGTGTGACAAAGTTGCATGTATTAGGGATTTATTTGGTCCCAATTTAAGAAGTGGGACTTTTTTTTACTAAGCAAGTTCAATTAACGGTAAAGGATGACTTGGGTTTTTTTTTTTTTTTTTTTCTGGCATTTGACCTGAGTATAGTTTTCAGTTCAGATATTTGACAGTTAGCATTAATGTTTTTATAGCAATAAAGCGCAACACTTTAAAGATTTGTTTGCAGGTGGCCTGTTTCCGGAGCAATTCACACCTGCAGGTTTTGTACAGCCACATCTTGTCCCCGCAGTTCCTTGCTGTGCTTTAAAGCTCTCGCGTCGGGGCTGGCCGTGGGCAGAGCGCCCTGCGCTGCGCGACCTGCGTGGGGCTGCAGAGCTCCAGGCCCCGCCGGGATCGCCCGCGTCCCGGGAGAGGCTCCAGGTGCGGGGTGGAGCAGAGGGGATTCGCCCCTAGCCCCGCGCTAAAGCGGCTTGTTCTCCCGGCCCTGCAGTCCCAGCTCACGCTGGCAGGAGCCGAACAAACTGCAAAGCACCTTAGGAGAAACCTTAGGAGCCCCGAGGGGGCTCCGCGGAGCAGCCCCCGTCCTGCTGGGAGCCGCAGCGCCCCGGGCGCCGGCTTGGGGAGCGGTTTAACTCCGTGTACAGATATTCCTTAACGCCGGGTAAAGATATCTCTTAACTCCGGGTAAAGATCTCCCTGCCCCAGGGCACCCGGGAGGGCTTCGGGTCAACCCGCAGCTGGGGAGCAGAAAACAAAAATAAACATCTCGCGCTCAGCAGTTGTGAGCGGCTGACGTGGGAGGTGAGTGCGCTCCCTGAGTGGGCCCCGCTCTCATACAGCTTTGCTGGAGGGGGCTGCTGCTGCCAGCAGGGACATCTGCTTTATTACACTCACCAGAGGAGGCTCAGCCTTCCTCCCTCCTCTCCCCCTTGCGCGCGAGCTCAGCTCAGCAGAGGAGGCTGAGTCCAAATGGGAAGTGGGATTTCATTAAAGAAAAAAGAAATCATGATCCGAAAGGACAAAGTGGAGCTGGAGAGGAAAGAAGGAGCAGCAGGGTCCTGCCGATGGGCCCTGCCGCCTTCCTCCCTGTCGCGGTCCCTCTTTGGGGGGGTGACCGGGGCTGTGCGGCCGCCCAGGCAGCCCCGCCGCGACACGCGCACCCCCGGTAGCCACGGGCACCCCCGGTGCCCACGGGCACGCGCCCCGGCGGCGGGGGAGCCGGGGCAGGGCCCGGCCGCTGCAGCACGTGCAGCTCCTCGCGCTCGCCGGCTACCTCGACAGCTGCTCGTACCTCTCGTAATTAGACTGTCAGAGCTCGTTAGAGGAGAGGGAAACGCTCCTATGACAGATTCCACGAGTCTTTTTTTTTTTTTTTTTTTTTTTTTTTTAGCATCGCTAAGAAATCGCCAGAGCATTAATTGAGATCTCTAATTTTCCCGCATTCGGGAGAAGATCCCTCTGCCACCTCCTTTATTCCCGCGCTCCAATGAGGGCTCCCTTCCGACTGCCAGGAAACACGGCTAATTCCCTCTAAGAGGCTCAGCGAAAGTTACCTTCCCTCCACAGCTCCCCGGGAGGAAGACAGATCTTTCCGGCCATGTGAGCTAAGTTTCTTAATCCCCTCCCCACAGCGCCGGATCTAACTAGAAGGAAAAGGTGGTTGGAAGCGCAGCCTAAGGGAGCGCAGAAGCCTCCGCTGCTGTCGCCCGTCCGAGGGCAGGTTAATTCGCAGGACACTCGGGGAGGCTCTTCCCCCTTCCAAACAAAAGCGCTGTGGGATCAAGCCGAGCTGCTCCTACCCCCACCCATGGTTCACTCAGCAGATGAGACTCAGAGGAGGCGATTTCTTGCCTCACTCCCGTACATTCCCCTTTCCCCCGCAATCATACAAGGTTAACTCAACAGGGGAGTCTCAATCCAAATGGCAACTGGGATTACATTAAAAAAAATGAAGGAAGGGGGAGGAAAAAAAAAATCAGAAATAGGGAAAGAAAAGAGAAAAAGCAGCAGGCTGATTACGAGGTGTCAAAACTGCCAGGAGCAAGAAGGTGATAGCAATCAGGGGTGAGAAGAGTGCGCCATTCGTGCGGGGCAGCTAATTATCCGTCTCATTTGAGAAGAGCAGCATTCGAGGCAGCAGCGTTCGCCTGCTGAACGGTGACAGATTGGCGCGGAGGAGAGGGGAGGTGTTAAAACAATGGAGCCGGGCTCGCGAGCGCTGCTGCATGCTAATCAGCCCGGCCTCCTTCCTGCCTCCCCCCGCAGCCCCTGCCTGCCGCGATCCCTCCTCTCCGGCCCGCACGGCCACGGGGCGGCCTGGCGGGCCCCGGCGGGGCGGGCTCGGCCCCGGGGGCTCCCGCTGACTCGCGGAGAGCAGCGCGAGGCGGGGGGCACGCGGGGCTGCCGCTTGCTCGGGGATCCCCGCGCGCCGCAGGCCTCGGGCGAGAGGCAACGGGCGGCCACGTCCCCGCCGCCTCCCGGGCTGCGCCCAGCGAGGGACACAGGGTCCTGCTCAGAGGGTGCCCCGGAACGGGGGTGCGGGGGAGCCGCTGCGAGCCCGCGGGAAGCGACACGGCCGCCTTGCCGCGCGGCCCCGCAGGAGCCCGGCTTGCTGGACGCTCCACCCCGCGTTACTGCAGATCGGCGCGACCTGCAGGGCTCGGGGGAAGGGAACAGCAGCGCGGCTCGGCGGGACGCGCATCCACGCGGGCTGCGCCATGTCTGCTCCCTCCGGGCTCCAGCGCCCCGGCCCTGGCGGGGAACGCGCGGCCAGAGAGGCCCTGCCCGAGCCAGGGAAGCCCTCGCCCGAGTCCCGAGCCCTCGCCGGGCTCAGCAGCCCCGCGCGCGGCCCTGCGCCCGGGCGCAGCCTCCCGTGCCGTTTCACACGCGCCGCTTCGAGCAGCGCGAACCCGCTTTGCGGCAGGACCGCGGGGCAGGCGAACAAAGAGCGGGATCAACCCGCTCTAGGCCCGAGCTAGCAACACCACTTAGGCTGGATGCTATTTAAAATAGATCGCCGGGGTGCCTGTATGGGTGGAGGGGAGTAATAGCGTCTACATTTTGTTATTCTAAGTCTGTCGTGGAGTGTTCTTGATGAGATTGTCCGTGAGCATACAGATGGTGAGATTTTCGTGCTTCTGTGGCATACTGACATCTCAGGCTGTAAAAATAAATTCCCAGATCGCTGCAATACCTAGGAAGTACAAAAATTCCGTCCACTTTACTGCTCAAAATCGAATTACTTTATGTTTAAAAGACATTATAATACTAGAAACACAAGTTAATGTGAACAGAAAATACTAATTTAATGGATATGCAATATACAGGAAGAAATACGATAACCTCTGTGCCCTTTTCTAAGCTTGTGTGTGTTTGTGCTTCATAATTCAGTGATATGGGGAACGGAGAATGAAATCTTGCTCCTTCTTTTGCTATTATCTACACATTTCTTTTTGTTAAAGCTGTCTACACAAGGATGAAGTTGACTCTTTGTTAGTTTAAAGTTACTTTTCTGGGGAAAAAAAAAGAACTATTTCTTCATTTCATGCAATTTTCCCAGTTGTTGAGAAATTACTAATCTACTACAACGATTTATGCTGCAAACACGTGTATTGGAACCGAGGGAGAAGGCTAAGATATTTTCTTGATTTTCATAGCCACGTTTCGCCTGCCTAAGGAGACACACAGCGTGGAGTGGTCTGAACATCAGCTTCTCCTGCCTGGAAACCAACTCCATTTTACTCATAATAGTTGGGGCAGGGCCCCCCGTTGGCTAATATTTGGCTACAGAATGAAGGCTCAAGGTGCTAAAATTTATTAAGGTTTCTGAGCTGACCAAATTAGCAATTTTAAATAGCTATATATAGCAGGGTGATATGGTGAAAATGAGCTAAAAGAAAAACATTTTGCAGAGACAAGTATATACTCTCAAAAAAGGTTTAAAATATTCAATTGGTGAAAAAATAACTACTTGTAAAAACGTGTGTATTTTCATTATGCTTAATTTGCCATTCAAACAAGTTTTTCTTAATAAGCTCTATTGTTTCTATCTGTTTTGTGAAATGTAATACGTGTGAGACAGAAAGCAGACTCGGAATGTGAATGAGTCTTGTTTTCTCTTTCTCTCTTTCTATCTATATAAAAAAAAAAGGAGAAAAAAAAAAAGAAAAGAACTTCATAGAGACCTTTAACTCAAGGAAAGGAGCGAAGGAAGGGAAGTGGCATGGCATTCCTGAGGTCATGATCTGAAAAGATGAGACGCGAAATGTTATCTGCTGGTCTTTTCCCGCATCTTAGTTCTGTGCAGTGTAAAAGTCTCCGTAAGCAAAACACTCTGTGGTTAATAGTTATGTTTTCGCTCTCAGCAGTGACACAGGCTTTGTCAGGTTTTCGCTGTTTGCATAGTTCATTAAAATACTTTAATCCACGACTCATTGTTCCTAAAAATCACCACACTATCACCAGAGCAAAAACATCTATATCCTCCCAATCCTGCGGTGTCAAAAAGTATAGTCTCTCAGGGCAATAGGTTACAGAGCCTTCATAAAGGTTCCCCATCTGTCATCAAGCGCGACATCAAGCCCTCTAGGTGCTGTGAAAATGATTTTCTCCGGAATTCTCTAGCCTAAAGATGCCATCCTCTTAATTACAAGCATTTGAGATCAAGAACACCGCTGAATTCTCCGGAGATTCACTGAAGATATGCAAAAATAATCTCTTTTCTTGCTTGCCTGCCAGGGCTTCTGTACCTGCCCACAAGCTGGTGGGCTCATTTGCTAGGTAATGATGTCTGAAGCAAGGCAGAAGTACAGCTG